TGAGATTGATTTTCAGGGATCAACTAAGTTTTAGAAAGCGCAAAGGTGAGGATGCATACAAACCCGATGTACACACAGCAGACGTGTCACGGAGTTTTTTTCCGAAACACGCAAGTTTGTTTTCACAGCTCTGTCTCATGTCTTTAAACAACCGTTCCAGCAGTTTTACAGACACCATGCAGCAATGTGTTATGAAGGTCCAATTACGTAGATTAATTTGGCTCGCATTGGGTTAGGATGAATGAGGAAGGAAGGTGAAACGTTTTATTTGCTTCGGTGCACCCCTTCGCAGTTCCGGTGTTTGAGAAGCAGGCGAAAAAACGGATTTTCACGGAAATTCATGTGCGCGCCTCATGGTTTCATCCCAGAAATGACCGCTATAGCTCTCTTCGACGATGGTGATGGTGTTAGAGTAGAATATTGCTGACATATAGAGTAGAATATTGCTAACACAAATATTGCTGACGTCGGGACTTCCGCGGCACGACTTCTGCACGACATTACTTCTCATGTAACAACTTGTAATTCATGAACGCCGCAGAACTTTTCACACAACATTTTTTCACGATGTTATCTCTGTACGACAAGGTTTCTAAAGCAAATGTTTAAACGCAACACTTCTTCTGATGCAAGAACTTCGAACGCATAGGCTTCTACGCGACAAAACTGCGAACGCAAAGACTTCTACACGACATTTCTTCTACGCCACAGCGCTTCCAATGTTTATAATGGATATAATATATATATATATATATATATATATATATATATATATAATAGATTCTTATAGATATACATCCACGAGACAAACCCTACAATGCAAAAATCTCTGCGCGACACTTATTCCACAACTCAAAACTTCCTACGCAAAAGCTTTTTAACAAGATTACTTTTAATACAGGAACTTCTAACGCTTGAGAGAGACATTCAAAAATTCATTTGTCCGTCCCGGTAGTTCGGTCGGTTAGAGCACCTGTCTTCTGGCCTACCCTTCCGTAGCGGGGTGGGATCGGGTAGCTTCAGGTGCTCGCTATTTGTTCTCGGCGGGTATGGCCTGTGGCCGGTGTCAGTGGCCGCACGAAAGATCAGGTGACGTCAGGAGCCAGGACGGACCGTGCCGAGCATTGCGGTGCGTTAGTCGTTCGCCACCAGAGTTCACCGTTGACCTGGAATTGCGCGATCGGATGGTAAGGGTTAGGGCCCACACAACAAGCGCTGCTTTGCGTGAGCTTCAGTCCCAGAAGTCCATCCAAGCAAGAGGTTCAGATTCAATCTTAAAAAACGCATTAACTTCTACGTGACAAAACGTCACGTCAGCTCTTGCGTCAGAAATTGTGTCGCGCAGCAGCTTATGCGTTAAAAGTCTCTGCATTGTAAATGATACGCAGAGCTAGTTAATTTGATTCGTTGTTGCGTAGAAATTTATACCTTAGAAGTTCTTGTGTTAGAAGTAATGTTGTGAACAGTGTTTTTGCGTTAGAAGTTTTGTAGCGTGCAAAAATGTCGCGCAGGAGATTTTGCACTTGAAGTTATGTGTCGTAAAGTTTATGCATCACAAGTTTTTGCATTACAAGTGACTTTGCGTAGGACCTTTTGCATTAGAAGTTTTGTCACGTAGAAGTTTTTGTGTCAAAGGCTTTGTCGCATAAAAGTTTATGCATGACGAGTTCCTGCGTTAGAGGTAATGTCGCGTAGAAGTTGAGTTAGACGTTTTGTCATGTAGAAGTAATGTCGCGAAGAAGACTCATGTTAGAAGTGTGTCGTATAGATGAAGTCTTTAGCAATACTTAAAATAATCTCCGAACTTCTGGCATAATTCAGGTCGAAAAGCCGACCACCCAAACCACATCATCTTTGGCATGCGGCTGTTAAATCCGGTGTCATAGAATTGCCGACTTTGGGTTAAAACGACATCCTATGAGGGGGAATTTTTCACTCCTTTTCCCCATATCTTATGTGAATTTTTCACTCCTGTCTGACATAGTCTAGTCGCACATGCCAAACCCATGTTTCCCTTTCTGAGGTTTTCAGATGTCATCCAAAATCGAGCTCACTTGAAACCACCAAGCATAAACAAGGCTCCGCAGAACCTGGACACCTATGGCTGTGTCCTACCTCACCTACAACTGAATCATGTCTGTGTATGCACAGAGCATGGACACCAGGCACCTTTAGGCCCAATAACCCCAGCGACTCCAGCCGCCTGTACGCATCAAGTTTGGTTTGTTTACAAAATGCATCACACTCGGCAGCAGTGTGCCAAATGCAATGTTTTCACGCATCTCCATTTTTTTGTTTTATCTCACCACCACATCACGAAAGCAGAGCCTGCTGCAACCACGAGCAAGGTCTGGTAGATAATTTTGCTCCACGTATTTCTTTTACCTGCAGAAACTTAGCCATTAAATTGTATCACTCCCAAATGCAACAGTGAAAAATTCAAGAAGGGTCTTCTAAATAAAATTTACAAGGTGGATATCACCATTTGAAAACTTATTTTAACAGATTCATTCATTCATCAAATCAGCTGATTGCAAAATTGCTCAATTAAGTATCATTCTTTATATTCATTTAGCGACTTTTGTTTTCTTTTTGGTGTTATACGGGTATCATACCATTTTATTATCCCTTCATTTCCCAAGGCCTCTAGAGATGCCATATGTTGCTTAAAATGTTGACCGATTTCTCTGTAAGATGCTCCAACTGCAAAATTGCACGTATTTTGTACATAAATTGGATTAATTCGTCAGCCACTCAAGCATGTTTGATACACATCCAAGAGTGAACAATTCACAGGAAATTAAGGGGACAATTTGAAGCACAGAGCTTCTTTTTACCGCCATTTTTGCCCCGTTAAACCCTCGGTTAGCCATTTTGTTTGGTTCATGGCGGTGCACAATAATGATAATCTATGCCTTTGGAGTGTCTGACTCACCACGCTACCTGATAAGGCTATCCCTATGCTGCCATATAGAGCTTTGGGACAGACCTGACGCAGCTGATACAGAAGTGTTGATGGTGAAATACTGCCCTCCGGAAATGTTTACCATGCACACCTCTTACTTGTTTCACATTTTAATCTCGCAGGTTGGTGGACGTAATTGATATTTATATTTGGGGGGGGGGGGGGGGGTGAGTGGGATGCCTCTGTCTGTCAGCAAGCTGTGCAAACTGTGGTAGCGACCTTTTGTTTTGGGGGACCAGGAAGAAGTGTGCCCCATTTTCTGTTTTAATCCATCGAGTTTCGTCATAAGGCAAATTATGAAGTCACAAGGCATGCAATGGGCTTATTTTGTGCTATGTTCTTGATTATTTATCCCAAATTTCTTGAAGTGGTCCCTCATGGTTGCATTAACCAGATGTTTTCCATAGTTGTCATGGTTTGCTGACTGGAAAATGACTACTGTATATATGTACTGTATTTTTTAACACTGGGATACTCTATGCTGCATAGCAATTGTATGATGAAGTAAAAATCAGCATTAAGCAGCAGTCAGACCATCCCATTTGAAACGTGAAGCCAACATCTCAAACTATGTCGTTAAATATGAATAAACAAGCCTAAATTTATGCTTTTGCTGCAGCTGAAAAGGCGAACATTAAATCTGGCACGGTCATCTAAAAGTTATGCTACTTTTGGAGAAAAGAGATTGTTTTTTGAAGCACACCCATTATTGCCTTTGACGGAGGTTAACCATGATAATCAGAATAACTTGTTCAAAGTGATTTAAAGTGTTTTGATTTGTGTGTTGTCAGCTTTGTCTGATGTCAACAAGCATACACAAACGAACTGAATAAAATACAGGTCCAAACCAGCCAAAATATGACTTTTAGCATGCTTTTATCATAACTGCTGCTATCAACAGACGGGTGAGCTGAGATAATGTTCAACATATGGGCTACTTTAAGTTAGGTTGAGTTGAGTAGGAGTGCTTTATACTTATTGAATTTTCTGTCGTTATTTTGTTGTTGGATTCCTTTGCTTTGTTTTGCGTTAAAAATGCTGTGGAAGGGAAGTGCAAAGTGCAGCATCAAGTTATTGGTGTTGCTGAATTTTGTATGTTCATTACACTGTCATGAAATTGCTATGCTTTCATGTATTGTGTTTCACTTTAATGACCTAAGATATAAAAAACGAAACAGTTTTGTCAGGTTTATGATATTACGTACATGCCAACTTGAAATAGATGTCTTTGTTTGCTTAAGCATCAGTCACTGGCTCACAAGTTCCATCTTTTGTAAAATGAATTTTTCATTCCCGGACGGTCTTTTTGCGATGGAATTTTTCACTCCCACCCTAGTTCAAAAGCGATTCCAGCTCACTGGTTAAATCCAGCTGCAAAAACTCGTCACTTCCACGCGGTTTCACATATTTGGTGTCATCGCTCTGTTGTGGCTTAATGCTTGCCGACCATGCACTCATGGTTTTACCTACCATGGAAAGAAAATAACGTCTTCCTAACGCGAAGGCAAATCCGTTACGGCGGGTTCCTCGCTGGGACGAAGAGTCTCAATTAACAGCTTGCACTCATCCGCACTCATTGGTGTACGCAAGTTTTTGCCTAGAGAAAGTTCCAAAAGGGGCTTCTTTCAGCCAAGTGGGCACAATTGCTTCGCGATAGGACCCCGCTTTTAATTCAGGAGAATTTTTTGAGCTCCAATCTAATTTTGACGGCTCAAGAGCCTATCTTATGATTTAGAAACTCCACAGTCGTCCTAAATTTCAAAAAAAAAAATACTGGGACTTCGGCCCAATGTGGGAGGCGGGCCACCTCTAGGGCGAGGGAGATATGGCCCAAAAGCCGCCCCCCCCCTCCCGTTTGCAAAGCACCGTTTCCGTACTTACGATGCAGTCAGTGTAAACAACCGGATAAACATTTGCCTCACCTTCATTGATGAGTATAAATACGGGGTGAGTGTGGTCTTTTACCAATCTTGTGTCTACATGCCGTTCTAGTAGTCGCTCAGTGGTCAGATGTATTGCAATTCACACAAGCTGCGACGCAACATTTATATTTGTTGCACACAAGCCATGACATATTATCACACGGTCACTTTAACGTCCGTCTAAAGCAGCATATCATTGATCATGTTAAAATAGGATCAATCTGGCATCGCTTAACTATGTTCTGGATAACGAAAGTGCACGAATATGCATCCGTGCCTCCGTTTGGCACGGCGTCGTCATCGCGGCTACTTGCCAATGGTCCCATCGATAATGACTTGATTCCTTCGCAGCTCTTTAAGCGTGGATGCTACACACATGCATCGTCGAGTGACGTCATAATACAATGGATCAGCATTTGCGTATTGATCAGTCACAGTGCCCATCAGAAAACCTCTAGCATAGTGTTCGAAACAGACTCCCCTAAAGCGTTATACGAGCATTTAAACGTGCCACGGTCAAACCTGTCTTAAGGATGCTGACGTGACCCTCAGAAGCTGAGAATGCTCAGAAAAGAACGACAACATTTCACCTTTGTCCAATTGGCATCTTTCTGATGCCCCATTTTATAAAGCGAGCTTACTTTGCTTTCCCTTCAGTGCCCCCAAACATTTGCCAGGCCATTGGTTTCATGTTGGACGATAATTACGTGAACGAAAACGATCACATCGTTTGGTAGCAACTTAGTTTCATGGTAAGTGGTGCAGCGACCTTGTCATGCTAAGTATAGTTGGCTAAGTTACAGTTGGTTAAGTTGACAAGTATACTTATCATGCTAAGTCACCCAGTTGGCGGTGCGCGCCCCCCGCCAGGCGGCTGAAGCCAGCCCAGTGCGCATCCCCCCCCCCCCCTCATCCCCACTGGGCATGCCCAGGGGCCGGCAGCGCCGTGTCGCACGACCCAGAGCCGGGCGGGAGGGTCACTCGAGGCCCAGCATCTTCTCGGAGGCCGCCCAGAGTTTGGCCGCCAGCTGGTCGTCCTGCGCCTGCGCGCTGGCCCAACCCCGGCGGCAGTCCGAGTAGTACCCGCCGGACTCGGCCGTCAGCGTTGGCTCCACTGCGCAGTAGACGACCGTCTGTGCACCCATCCGCGCGTTGCGGAAGAAGTAGCTAAACAGGACGCCCTTGAGGAACTCCGAGTGGTACCACTTGCCACGCTGCTCGCGGTAAATATCCGTGTTGACCACGCCGGGGTGCAAGGAGAAGGCGGTGACGCTGCGCTGGCGCAGGCGCCGCGCCAGCTCGCGCGCGTGCAGGATCTGCGCCAGCTTGGACGTGCCGTACCGGGTCCAGAGGGCGTACGGTTTCCGCTCGCATTCCAGGTCGTTCAGGTCGAGGTCGGTGAACCAGTGGCCCGTCGATGACACGTTGATGACACGCGCCGGCGCGCTGCGCACAAGCTTGTCGGTGAGCAGGTGCGTGAGCAGGAACGGCGCGAGGTAGTTGACCTGGAACGTGGTCTCGTGACCGTCGCCGGTGGTGCGCCGGGTGGGCAGCAGGCAGCCGGCGTTGTTCACCAGCAGGTGCACCTTCTCCTCCGTCTTGTTCACGTCGTCCGCGAACGCGCGCACCGACTGGAGGGAGCCGAGGTCGAGCTGCTTAACGATCACCTCGCCGCCCGTCTCCGACCGGATGCCGGCCGCCGCCAGCCGGCTCTTGCCGACGTCGCGCGACGCGATGATGACGCGCGCGCCGCGCCGGCTCAGCTCCAGCGCCGCCTCTCGGCCGATGCCGCAGTTACCGCCTGTCACCACGGCCGTCTTGCCCTCGAGCGTGGCGTTGCTGCGGCAGCGGGCGCCGATCATCCAGCGCCGGAACGCCAGGTAGCACAGCCCGCCTATGCAGAGGTAGAGCGCTGTCGGCGCCCACAGCCAGATCAGCACCAGCACCACCACGTAGGTGGTCCACAGGGCCACCTGCTCCTCGCGCTTGAACTCCTGCCAGTCCTCGCGCAGGAACGCCAGGTAGCTGCTCATCGTGGCGGTTTCGGGTGCACCTGGGGGTTCAAAGGAGCCGTCACACGAGCGGCCAGGTGGCAGAACACTGCTCCAGATGGCAGTAGTTTAGGAGATCCTCGTAAGCGTAGAGGTAGCATTCAAACGTCGTGAACGACTTTGCTGGCGGTATTCTTCATCTTGAGTTCATCATTTGACCAGCGTGTACATACGATAAGGCAAAATGCATACAGAGCATAAACATAGCCGGTCGACGGTCAAAGGTGCCAAACTAAACAAATCCTCTTGGAAGCAGGCAAAAATGTTAACATGACACAGCACACGAACGTACGGTGCTCGCAACTAAGTATTTCTGATTAAGGGAAGCCTCAAACTGTTTTTGAAAGCCGACACCGACATGTCTTCGTACCGTACACAACGGACACCACGCCGGCTGTTGGATTGAATGGTTACCAGTTAGAAAGCTGACGCCTGTCAACCACGGAGCCACAGATGCATGATGAAGAGAAGAAGGAAAACCGAGGCGACTATGAGCACACACCCCAGTTTTTGCACCGGAAATGTGCTGCACGAGCGGCGGCCCTTGTTCGGTGCTCCGAGCATCCGCTCCCGCGGAAAAGAAGGGGTATTTTAGTTCGACTACGCTCACACGACTGGGGACCAGAGGATGTGCGCACCGATCTCCGCATTTGTGGGGTGAGGTCTGCCTTTCTTAGTAGTCAGAGGATGTGACGAGTTACGATGCAGTATGATTCCACTGATTTTAAGAACATTTCGGTGGCGTATCTTCCAGCTGATAACATAAACAAAAATGCGGAAAAACCATGAGTGCAAGGCCTTTCTAGCTGACATCAACTTCATACACGTGTCAAAGCAGTGACCGTGCTATTTATTACGGCGTCTATTTTGGCGCCCCGTAAGTCGTCATCCTTTAGCTAGCTAGACGCAACCATAAACCTCTTGAGATACTTTCTTAGGCAACACAACAATTGAATGAGAAAAATAACATTGCCGCAAGGTCACGTTTGACGGTCAGACCAAGGTCAAAAGCAACCTTTTTTACTCTACGGTCTTGCTGTTCAACGTAATTTTTACTGCTCATTTCGAATTTATTGATAACGGGAACCAAACGGGATGGACTTTTTAAAGGCCAGGATAGGACACTGACCCAAAATGATCCAGATCAACACTTTGTTCTTGGGAACATAGTGGCTAGCGTTATCTTTTTCGCTTGTTCAGATGCAAAACTCAAATCAGTTTTACATGATTTTGATACCATGACCTTCAAAATGCCATACAAGGTCACTGATTTTAAATAAGCATGTGGCCTTTTGCTTGGAAAAAATTCCTAGATTCTGTGGCACTTTGGAGATCAACCTGGATTTTAACCTCATTCGACCTTATTTGACCCGAATTTCATGACCCAGGAACCCATAGCTTTAAAGTGAGCTCCAATCGAGTTTAACACACTCTTTGATTTGGTACGTCTAGCTCGCTTAGTTCCTGAGATCTCAGCGGGGTCAAATTGACCCCCCCCCCCCCCTCCCACCCGAAAGAAGAGTGTCCAGCCGGCCAACCGGGCGCGTGTTAAGTGGTAGTAGCAGAGGTAATGGCGCGTATCAGCAAAACGTGTAAAAGATTTTGCAGCTGAATTAATAACGGACATCAGTTTCTGAAGTACGAGTTTTCTCATATTAAACATGAGGCATGGGTGTCCTGATGTAAAACATATGCCACACCATAAACTTAAGTGCCGACAGTAAAATTGCTGTTGTCGATTGTAAGTGAAGAGAGTGGACGTTTATCAGTGGAAGTAATGATGGAAGTCTCTGAAGCATGAGTTTTTCACTTGGTACTCCTATTATGAATGTACATTAACACTAGCAGTAAGGTCCTGAACATGTGACGACTGTGCAAGCCCTCGCAGTACCCGTAACCACCGATTTGATGTTTTGAAGCATCCGCTCTCTCGTGCAGCGCTAATGTCACGAATAAATGTTCGCAGCACAATAAATGTCGCACAATTTTTAGGGCTGCAGAAGTGTTCGCAGCAGCACATGTGACATCCATCACTTTTTGGAGCACAGGTTTTGATGCGCAGTGATAGTGTCGCTTATAAATATTGCCAAAGAAGAAAATGGCATTGACGGGCTTCTTCCGAAAGACACAGGAGCAGCCAGCATTATATGGATGAAATGTGGCGTAACAACAGCGGAAAAAGGGATGCCCGAGTCATTCTCATTGGTGAGTTTTCTGTTGTTCGCTTCCTTTAATATTGACACCGTCAGCATTTTGTACGTGACTGTTGATAACACGTGAGATAGTACGCACCCGAGCTAAGCATAAGATCTAGGCTTGGCAACCACCAGGTAAAATGTTGAACGTTGAAAGTTCGCAAGTTCGCATGAATTTGTCCCGAAGGGAAAACGAATTATCGCGTTTTACATGTGTAAACCAACGCTATCCTTCCACACGAGGCATTCACTTTGCAACAGCTCCTTTTCATAGATCTTCAGTATTGATCCTGTGGTTGAAACGTCTAAGTGCAACTGCGCACTTGGCATAATTTAAGGCAATTCTCCCATTCCAGCAATGCAATTAGTTGAAGTCATGTTTTTAACAGGTACTGCGGCATAAACCGTGAACGGGAAAACGAAGAATTACTTAAAGCCATGATTTGAACAGGTATTCCTGCATGAACCGTGACTGGAAAAACGAAGAATTAGCTAAACCCATGTTTTTAACACGCATTCCGGCATAAACCGTGACTGGGAAGACGAAGAATGTGAATCGGAGTCGGATGTAACACATGTCTGGCTGTGTAACACTGAGCGCACATCGAGTCTCATAAGTAGCCCGGTAACATGTAAAACTGCATCGCATAGTGATATCAGTAATATTGTTCTTCTTGTTCGCCTGCGTCAATGCTGAACGCACATTTGCTTTCAGACAGTCTACTGAGAATGCAGCGCCATCATGAAACCTGAGAATGGAGGATGTCAAGGCCAAGTCATCCGCAGTTGTCCGACTCAAGCGCTTAAGAATGTAGTGCCTTGTGAAATCAGAGAACTGCAGAGTTCCATTATGAAATTGTTTTGTTGGTAGGAGCCACTCTGCTGTGCGCAGCGAAATCTATGGACAAAGCCACGGCGTATAGTACGGGTAAAGTTTCGCAACAGAGGTTGGAGGGGGACGAGGAGGGGGTAAGAAGAAAAATGGCAAATCGGATCCCAAAATACGCCAACAAGGGGTTGTTAAATTTGGCTCGCAAAACGAGTTTCTCCTCGAATTTGGTCTAATTTCTCCTCAAAGAGAGATGGCTGAACCCCCCTCCCCCCCCCCCCCACAACTGATTACGAACCTACAACCCTGATGTGTAGCAGGCATCACCTACGTATTAACAAGAAAGTTTTGGTACTAATACCTGTAATGTTTATTATGATGCCCTGCCTTGACATAGAGTGTCCGCTCTGGGTTACTAAGCGGACAACCAACATTCTGTTTGGGGGAATTGACGTCAGCTAGTGTGGCTCGAGCCATTGACGGTCATGAGTCCACGTGGTGTGGGGCTGTGCTATGCTATTAACCAGCATCTCATCAGCGTTCGGGGTGTGGTGACTTGTAACATCCAAGATGACAGCGTGGGATATACAGCAGGCATATGTGAATATTACACCTGTATATTCGCTTTGGAGACAATACTAGTTCCCTTGGAGAACAACTCCATGACAACTCCACGTTACGTCAAGTCCCTGAAGCCGCAATCGCACCTTGTACTGATCTCACAGCTACCGCCACGTCCTTTTCGTCTTCAAGGAGCGGGTAACCGTGCCAGACTGGTATTTCCGATAATTTAACGCTCGGTCGGTGGCGGGCTGCACGACATCGCACGCGCACGTCTCCAAGACGCACGTCAGAAACTCTGGCGATTCTTGTCATGATTACGTTTTTATATATTTCTAAAGCCTCGGCACTCGTCACATTCTCATCAATGTCACCTACGTTTCCATGCCCGGGGCAGTAGTAAGATGAAAATTCCACCTTCTGAGCCATGACACCAGCAGTCGTAGCATCATCGTTGGCTGTTTCCCTTCAGATCTAGCCAGCACGCTCGATAGCTGTCGAATTTACAGGTTGTTCGCATTGCACGCGCATTTCCAGCGGTTTCTGCCATTGTTTTAAAGAATTGTGTTGCATTGGTGGATTCAGATGAAACAACGTCCCCTGAGAGAATGCGGCTCATTGCATGGAACACCAAGTATCAAGCCTCTATGAGACTTAAACCTGCTTCTTATTTTTTATTTCACGTCAAATTTGGGCTCATTGCAAATGTTGCAGAAAAACCGGACCAGCATCGAGCATCATCTGTACTTGACCAGCATTTTGCATACCGGCATGCTGAAAATATTGTGGAAAATGTTTCAAGCATTTGTTCTGCTTGACAAGGAAAACTCCTAGAACTGCCATTAGTGGCTGCACGACAATTATGTATCAAAGAATGCATCGCCGCCATCGGTCGGATCGGGTGGAACTGGTCAATTCGCAGATGCCCCCGTGGTTCAAGCATGTCTCCCCCGGGCCTCGCTCTGCGGTCTCGCCTCGACTACCGTCCAAAGTACGAGGTCCCTTATCGGTGCGACAAGTGTTCCCACTCCCCTCGACAATGTCGCGCATCCCGCTGCCTGTGCGCAACTGGGGCGGTGCTCTGCACGGCTAGGGCGGTGCTCTGCGCGGCTGGGGCGGTGATATGCATGGCTGGGGCGGTGTTCTGCATGGCTGGGGCGATGTTCTGCGCGGCTGGGGCGGTGGTATGCTTGGCTGGGGCGGTGCTCTGCTCGACCGGGGTGGTGCTCTGCATGGCTGGGGCGGTTCTCTGCACGGCTGGGGCGGTGCTCGGCGCCGCAGTGCCGGCCTATCCGGACCGCTCACCTCGATGACGTCACGCTCGATCCGCCCGGCTGCGGTTCTGTCTCGTCCCCACCCGGCGCGGCACGATCACTGGCTGCCACACAGCGAACACCGCACGCCTTGCAGCGCTGCCGCCCTCCTCCTCCTCCCCGCCACCCTCACAGGCCCCGACGTCACGCACTGCGCGCTCACAGCGCCGCCCCAACGTGTACTAGACCCCGCGCCTAGGCCGGACGCCGCGTGACAGCGCATTTGGCCGGCCCACTCCGAGGCTGACCTTGAGCCTCCCGGCCGTACTCACCGCGTGAGGACCGCTGGCGCCGCCGCCCGAACTCCCCTCCGTAGCTCGCCACGCCGTGGGCGCAGTCTGACGACCCACGGCCTTGTCCGGACGTCGCCCGGCGACTGCACGTCATGGTGCCAGCGGCGGCTCCAGCCACGTGGCGACAAGGGTCGGCGCAGGCGGGGCCTCCCCGGGTGTTGGCCTCGACTCGCCCCTGCCGCCCGCGGCGAATCACGTGGTACTCAAACGGCTTTGATACCGGCTGAGCTAACACGAGATATTGTTGACTCGGGTGTCGCCGTCGAGGCAGTGCAGCAATGAGGACTGAAGGTCACCACGCTGTTCCACGGTCACAGGGGTAGCACGTGATGTCCACAGCTGGGTGCCGCTACACCCTGGTTCAGGAAGTGCGCTAGATGGTGTTCCAGGTGTCAGTTTTCACTTGTCAGCTGACGCCCGCGGGCCGAGCTGCTTGCTCGCCTGCGACGCTACCTCAGCAGTGCTTCGCGTCTCTATTCCCGCGTGCACTCATCGGCGGGAGCGCGGCGGTCTCACCGCTGGTCAGCCGGCAGAGCGGAGCGCGCTGGGCGGGGCGTGCCCGCACGAGGCACTCCCAGCCGGCGCGTGCTGCTGGGGCTGTCTCGGCCGGCGTGCTACGCCGTCTACACGCGCCTCATGACCTGAGCGGCGGGCCTTGCGCCGTATTCTATCGAGTGGTATTTATTCTCTCAGGGGAAGTGAAAGTGACAGGCCGCGTGTAAACGAGATGAAGTGAACGTTTTTTACGGTTGTGGGAAAGCGATGCCGATGTCACGTGATATGCGCACAGATAATCATCTTCTGATAGGTCTGAAAATATGCATTTAATTTGTCATGTCCATGTTAAAAATATGTGCAATCGTTAATGTACTCAATTGATTTCAAGGTGTTAACTGACCTGAAAAATCATTCTAGCCTGGGATTTGTATCTTTACAGCTGCTGATACGCGCGGGAGAAACCATCGCTAAACTAGCCCAAATGGCTTTCAAAAACGTTCAGCACTGCTCGGGCTCGGCCACAGCGACCTGAATAACGTCCTGTGGTGTTATTTTGTTACCGCCTCACCTAAAACTTTAAACGCACACCATGTGAGAGGTATCGCGTGTCATAACGCTACATTAGCAAAATTTTATGGTAGACTAGTCTATAATCTACGCATCTCTCCCTCTCTCTCTCTCCCTTGCCCCCTCTCTCTCTCTCCCTCTCTCTCGCTCTCTCCCTCTCCGTCTGCCTCTCTCTCTCTCTCTCTCTCTCTCTCCTCTCTCTCTCTCGTCTCTCTCTCTCTCTCTCTCTCTCTCTCTCTCTCTCTCTCTCTCTCTCTCTCTCTCTCTCTCTCTCTCTCTTTTTCTCGGGTGTATGTGTGTGGATGTGCGCTGTCGGGTCAGTCAGTGCAGCCCCGCCCCGTCACCTCGGCTCTGGTAGCTTACCGCGGGTGCACATTGGACCCGGATGTCAGCCGAGTGAAGCAGCGGATATACCCTGTGTCAATGTGATGTCTCTGGCCATGAGATAGCGGCTTCCAATCTGCAGTCATGCTTTCGTCTGGCCTGGATCAACATCAATTGACGGGCAGAGAGCACATCCTACACTACACATCTAACGCTGTCGTGCGGAGTCCTCGTTCAGAGCGCTCATGGCCGTCTCGTTCCGGCTGTGACCTCTGTCTTCATGGTGTTCCCAGCTACAGAGATAGTTGAGCAAATGTGCGTGACACACTTGAGCGACATTCAGCAAGGAGTCGAAAGATGCTCAGGAAAATTTTTGCACCGGAACCCTACATATTTACACTTCACCATATTGCTGCTTATAGCTGTGTCCACTGCGGTACAGAAAGGGCGATGATACGCCGGCCCGCTGCACGTTCCGTGTACCAAGGCGCTGAGCTACGGGGGAAAAAGGGGGAGGGGGGGGGGGGCAGTCGGTATGTCAGCGGGCCTGAGCGAGAGCTGAAGCCATGGTATGATGTGGATTAGCTGTTGCCGATAAGAACAAAAGTGGTATCTCATGGCAGTAAAGATCTCCAGAATCCTAAAAACTTCCAGCGTCCTAAGATATAAGGTCCCTAAAATTCTCAAAACTCTTTAGGACGAAAAATGCGATAGAAGACATCTAACCGTTCTTGGTAAGCGTTCACTCGCCACATGCCATCTGTTCTGTGAGAACACAAACTATTCATAACATGCGGAATGCGATTGATTCAATACTTGCTTTAAAAAGACGCCCTCCGCGCATTACCAGCCATTTGTTGTTCAACACGCTCTCGGGTAGGGGGTCAATGGGATCCCCGAGGGTTTTTTCCGGAATCATTTTAGAACGGCGTCTGACCTACGGAAGGTCAGTCAGGCAACGGATTGAGCGAAGGTGTTTTCAAGGGAATCGTTTATTTTGATTCAATAACGGAGTATTAGACGAAATCATACGCCTCTCAGATAGTTCCCTAGGCAACACAACAACTGAATTAGCGAATGCCATTGACCTGGGGTTAGGTATAAAGGTCAGCCTAAGGTCAAAATCAGCCTGTGTTTTTACTCTCGAACCTGCCGTATGGGGTAGTTTCTGGTGCTCATTTTGAACTAATTGATAACAGAAACCACATCATACAGTGTCCATGGACTTTTTAGAGATCAGAACAGGTAATTGTCCCAAAGTGACACAGGCCAGCATTTTGTTTTTAGAACCATAATGCCATGCAAAAATGAAAGCACCCTGGTATGGTTTTGTGCCCCATGACATTCGAAACGAAATGCCAGACCATAACGAAAGGTCAGTCAAGGCTATTTATCTTGAACGAGCGCCAATGACCTTGTGCCTAGAACAGGCATCTCGGTTCACGGCGGTTGCATGAGAAAATCTGGGGCACTTTGGGCACAAATCGGGACTTTGACGTTGTTTGACCCGATAGTCATAATCTGGGAAGTTGAAATTTTGACAACAGCGAGTTTATTCACATGATAAAATACTCTGTGAATTTCGTAATTCTAGTTCTGATAGTTTCTGGAATTTTAGGTGGGGTCAAATTGACCCTCCCTACCGGAGCGGAAGGCACTTAACCGGCCACCCGAGCTCGTGTAAAGATAGTTCTGAGATAACAAGTCGATCCCACGCCCTGTGATTGACTTAGAAGACCATCACACGATGTCGTACTCGCTTCTCATCGGCTAACAATCGCATCATTTACGTCACATGTGACTAGGGCTCGTTTCCCTTGGAAGTGGTACATAAGATGCACCGTTGGTTTCCATGCATTCTCATGCTTTTGTATGAGTGCTTTATCGGAGGCCAACACGCGCTAAGGGTATCATCATGAGAGAGGCTAAGTCATCTGACTGAGCACCAAAGAGCAGTCGGTCGACCGACGACAAGTTGCAAAGCCGGCAACACTTTAGTCCTTTGGGATTTCCCGAACTTGAATGCGTTCCGCTCGTTTCAGGAACAATTCAAAACCTTTGTTGGCATAAGCCTCCATTGCCTTAAGCTGTTGTTGTATTGCGGTTGATTGGTATTTTGCAGCTCCTGAAGAAGAGCACACGACGGACCAGCACATCGTCTTCAACACAGACTCTGCGGCGGACGGCAACCACAATCTAATCTAGATTTCTCTTCAAGAAGCCTGATGACGGCGTTGGCCAGATGCAGCGAATGTAAAGATAGCGTCTGCAAATAAAGTGACTGAAAAGATAGGCTTGAAATCGGCGTTAGCATGGCGCCAACCATTTAAGTCGCCATGTGACGCACAGGGTCCCGTCACCGCCCACCACCTGCCTTCAGGCGGTTCGATGCTGCACGAGATCGCGGTGCGATGTCACTGACGCGGAGCCGGGAGTGCGCGGAACTGGTGCTGGTCTCTGCTCCCGCATGTACTCGAAGTTAGGAATGCTGTTGACCGTTTATCCAGGAGGGAGCGTTTTATCCGCTTATGGGGTTCTCGGACGGGTAACTGTTCCGTGGCCAGAGACAGAAGTCGTGCTGTGATATCGATCTCAGATCGTTGGCTAACATCACATCGTCATGGACTGGCGGATGGTATGTGAGGTACGCTGGTTCGTATGGGCCGCAATTCTTAAACTGATTACAGTGTAACACCGCATGAGACAGGCCAACATTGTGTGTGAGGCTATCATTACGTCGCCTTTTCTGTTGGCTGTTCTGAATAGACTTTATCCCATAGGAAAAATATATTTACACAAGTCAACAATCAGAAGAAGTCAACATGAGTCCACAGCAGTCAACATTTCGCGAAGGAGGCATTATGATCCATGCGCCAGAAATGGGGCATTTGACGGCGCGTCTTATAAACGTGGTTACATGCGAGCCGAGGTTGATTAGCTGACTGCAACAGTCGTGGTGAACAACGAAACGAGAAAGAGAGAGAATAAGCGATCTAAATAGTGAAAGAGCAGCATCAAACCAAGGCGATGATGTTAAACGAGTGAAAAACGACGTTGTCTTTCATCGCAAAAGCTGAAAATGCCACAGAATCCAAGATAATACCAACATATTTTTGCACCCAGGGAATTCCAGCATATAACTAACAGCGAACACTGTCGTGTGTAACAACAGCTAGTCGGGCGTTGTCGAGCAACAGCCTCTGGTAGCCTGAGCTCTCTTAAAGCTTGCTGTTGCGTCGAATCCAGTCTCCGAACTCTGGAAATCACACACTGATGTCAGTCGGGTGCCAGGGGCCAAGCGGTTTAGGAGATGCTTACACAGAAGTTGATATGTGACAAGATTCCTTTTTGGTTGGCGATGCGGTAATTGCCCAAATACATGGAATCCTCAGCGAGCAAAATTCAATGCCGATGCATGCAAAAGAACACGGTAAAAATCCGCGAATAGAAGGGTGCATGCGACTCCAGAGGCACAAGCAGGAAGATCGGCTGGCAGCAAACTCCTCGCACGCCGGCAGCTGACCCGAGGACCAGAGTACACAGACGGGGAGGCGAGAGGCGCTGTTATACCAGGGCAGTACTAGTACCAGGTAAGTACTCACCCGAGACGCGCGCGTACACGCCCGGGTAGCCGGGCAGAGCGCAGCCCTTGCCGAAGCTGACCACGCCGACCTGAGTGTAGATGTCATTGTCGCCGACCACGGCCATCGGGCCGCCGCTGTCGCCCTGTCGACAGCGGGGGGGGGGGGGGAGGGGGTCAGCAGCATGCAGGCAGCCGAGCGGGCGCCGAGGTAGGCTCCGAAAGGAGCGATGTGATGCGCAGAGACACCTGTGTGCGCAGTGGGTCATGCATGCGGTCTTTGTCCGTTCTGTGCCCACGTGCCTTGTGAACAGACCTGCATGCTGATCACCGCTGGGGGTCTGTTCATGACGTCATCGTTCCGAGCAGGGAAAGAATCGAAGCACGCCTGCCCGTCGTCGCTTAGCTTCCCCTGACAGGTGCGAGCTTCCACCTCGTCTTAACCCGACAGTGACCACCCTTCACATGACGCGCTTTCGCGTGACGTCACAGGCGCCCGTCGGCAGATGTGGCCTCACCTGACACGAGTCCTTGCCGCCCTCCGGGTAGGCAGCGCACACCATTCGGCGCGTGATACCGATCCGGTCGGCCGCATAATCGCTCTGGCAGTCGGCGTTCTCCATGATGGGCACGCGCACGAACTGGACAGCGCTGGCGCCCACCAGCGACTCTGACTTGAGCAGGCCCCAGCCGGCGAGCACGGCGAGGCGCTTGGTGTAGCAGGTGGAGGGCACACGGGACTGGCAGCGCACCTCCGGCAGGCAGATGGGCCGAACCCAGCCGTTCTCAAGCGCCATCAGTGAGCGTAGTGAGCTTCGCAGTCTGCGGCAATCAGCAGCGGGTGTGTCATGGCAGAGAGAGTGAGAGAGAGAGAGAGAGAGAGAGAGAGAGAGAGAGGAGAGAGAGAGAGAGAGAGGAAGATAGAGAGAGAGAGAGAGAGAGAGAGAGAGAGAGAGAGAGAGAGAGAGAGAGAGAGAGAGAGAGAGAGAGAGAGAGAGAGAAGAGAGAGAGAGAGAGAGAGAGAGAGAGAGAGAGGAGAGAGAGAGAGAGAGAGAGAGAGAGAGAGAGAGAGAGAGAGAGAGAGAGAGAGAGAGAGAGAGAGAGAGAGAGAGAGAGAGAGAGAGAGAGAGAGAGAGAGAGAGAGAGAGAGAGAGAGAGAGAGAGAGAGAGAGAGAGAGAGAGAGAGAGAGAGAGAGAGAGAGAGAGAGAGAGAGAGAGAGAGAGAGAGAGAGAGAGAGAGAGAGAGAGAGAGAGAGAGAGAGAGAGAGAGAGAGAGAGAGAGAGAGAGAGAGATAGAGAGAGAGAGAGAGAGAGAGAGAGAGAGAGAGAGAGAGAGAGAGAGAGAGAGAGAGAGAGAGAGAGAGAGAGAGAGAGAGAGAGAGAGAGAGAGAGAGAGAGAGAGAGAGAGAGAGAGAGAGAGAGAGAGAGAGAGAGAGAGAGAGAGAGAAGAGAGAGAGAGAGAGAGAGAGAGAGAAGAGGAGAGAGAGAAGAGAGAAGATAGAGAGAGAGGAGAGAGAGAGAAGAGAGAGGAGAGAAGAGAAGAGAGAGGAGAGAGAGGAGAGAAGAAGAGAGAGAGAGAGAGAGAGAGAGAGAGAGAGAGAGAGAGAGAGAGAGAGAGAGGAGAGAGAGAGAGAGAGAGAGAGAGAGAGAGAGAGAGAGAGAGAATAGAGAGAGGAGAGGAGAGAGAGAGAGAGAGAGAGAGAGAGGAGAAGAGAGAGAGAGAGAGAGAGAGAGAGAGAAGAATAGAGGAAGAATAGGAGAAGAAAGAGAGAGAGAGAAAAGACAGAGAAGAGAGAGAGGAGAAGAGAGAGAGAGAGAGCTTACATCATCTGTTTGCAGATTTCCGTCTGAATGTACTTACTTGACGATAGCTACGTCGTTATCTTGCGTTGCGCGGTTGTATTTCTCGTGTTTGATGATGCTTTCCACCCGGAAGATTCTTTCAGACTCATCATTTACCCGCTTATGCTTGGCAACGGCGATGGCCAAACGAGTGGGTGTACGCCTGGAATAGACGTTTTGAGGATGTACATGTAGGTGCAAAAAACACGCAACATATTGTAGCCCTGTTCGCATAAGCGGGCGGCGACTGGGGATGAATGCGATCGGGTGTACGGCGAATAGCCCGGCGCTGCGTACCAGGCTGCTGCGCAGTTTTCAAACCATGTTCATTGCAGACGTCATTGCTGTTACTTATCACTGCTCATTGCAGGCAAAACGTGGTGGCTGGAGACAAACATGTAAGCCACGGCTCTTGCAACCTTACACCATAATGCACATCACCGAGCTTACAGCAACGCGTAATACAAAACTGAAGCAAGAGATGTGAGCTTGGGTAACTACTGCCACCGTCACTGTGAGTGCAGAGACGTCTGCTGGGCGTTTGTGGCCCTTAACATGAATGTACTCTGAGCAGGCTCTAGCAATGTATTGGGAGCAGCTGTTGAATTAAGGTCCACACCTGACTTTCCCTTCCCACCCAGGTGGCTGACTTTTCATTATGAACGCTTGTCTGATCAGGATTAATTACCCGTCCACGCAGTGAGCGGGCCGTCAAGATGTAGCGCTCGTTGATGATGCTTCCGCCGCAAAACTGAACTTTCGAACGACCGGTCTGCAGCGCTACCTGAAACGGTGCAGCAGAGGGTTTTGCGAGCAGCAAATTCAGAAACAAAAACAGAAACAAGACGACCACAAAAGGACCGCATCACTTGAACAGCCGTCGACTGACGATGTGATTTGCTGGCACATAATAAGCGCACCTATTCATGCGCGCAATTCACCTGGTAAGATCGGCCGCACAAGTCTACCGTGACCCAATCTACATGATAACTGGGGCGAACAACCACTCGGTGTCCCGCCCACTACACCAGTGACTGCCCAGTCACCCGCCCACTTACCAGCCAGGTGAGTCATGTGGCGGCGCCTCAACTCGTCCCGCCCACTTACCAGCCAGGGGAAGGCATGTGGCGGCGCCTCCGAGCCACCGACAATGCGCTTCGCGGCCTTTGTTCGGCCGCAGATCGGGGCGTTCAGGTCAATCGGCTTCGAGAGGTCGATGAAGGGGTCGTGTCGACCACGGCGCTGGCCTCGACGGCTTCTCGCCCCAGAGGCGTGCGCCTTACAGCGCAAGCGCCCCCGCCGAGTCGGTTCGAGCGGAACTCCACCTGCATTTGGCCCGAGGCCGTGACCTCGACGTCCCGCGCGTCGGCGCGGAAGGTCCGGCGGCCTTCGCCCTGCGGCCGGGCGAGCAAGAAGTCGCCCTTGCCCAGCTCGAATACGTCGCATGTCACCCGGAGGTCAGCGCCGGCGGTCTCCGTCTGCGGCGAGGAGGAGTGGTGAGGGTGCCACCGTCGCCAGTCGAGTGCGGCGGCCGTCGAACCGGAAGGCGGCGCCACCGGCGGCCGGTTGGGAGCGCTCGGGAGGCGAGGACCGGAGCTCTGCCTTTGGCCATCGGTCGGCCTCCGAAATGTTTTAGGCCATGGGTTGACCTCCGAAATATTTAGGCCATGGGTTGACCTCCGAAATGTTTTAGGCTATGGGTTGACCTCCAAAATGAGCCAAAAAACGGTTGATCCAAAATTGTAACGCCCAGATATGGATTGAGTTAGATAAGAGAGACCTCGGTCAGGAAAAATCCTGTCTTTGCAGCGTCGGGAACCACTGCGTTATTTTGTAAAAAGAAGATGGCCTGTCATTTGGAGGTTTCACTGGGCATGGTGGATAAAACTGGACCTCCGGAGCATGGCTACTTGTCGATGTGTGGACCAACACATATGCAAAAGCATATGTTATGTGCATAAATAGCCCGAGGGCCCACCCAGGACTTGCCATTATTCTTAAGCATACTACGCATAGGATATTTTAGTCATTTTCTGAGTCTGGCAGCCTTTTTCTATTACTCAAATCACTGAGACCCAGCAGCCAGCACCAAGGTCTGAGAGCGCAGGACATATTGTCTTGCCATGGTGCTAACCGCCAAAGCGCGTCCGACCATTTCAAAATGCCAAATTCAAAACTTTGGCCATGGAAAACTATTTATGAACCATTCCGATGCATTAAATCTGCACAAAGCTCGAAAATCTCCAACGGATCCTCCAAGTTCTTGCAACCATATAATTGATACCCAATAAAGGCCAGGGACGGTGCGAGATTGATGCGGTGAGAGATGGACCCTGCCCTGTCAGGGCGGTCTTGCAAGGAAAAAACCCCTGATTTACGCCATTACAAACCTGGGCGATCAGAGAGTGGGACACATCCTTTGTTCCTGTTCCGACCCCCATACCCAACTCTCCAGCCCCCCCCCTCCCCCAGCCCTCGTCCCCGCCTGCCACTACACCTGACCATGCCTGGCGCCGAGATACCAGGACCTGTGTCGCCAGGTGCTCAGCCGCAGAGCTGATGCACTGCTGGGTTCAGGGTTGTGGTGGCCATGCCTCGGAGTGATCTCGGCTCCTGGTCACCGGGATACACGCTCAATCCTTACACACTTTGCCTAACTCATGTGTAAGCAATCGACATAAGTTAAAAAGGCGGAGTCCGTCTCTGGCTCAGAATAAGCTTGCACAACCTCGGGCTTAAACCAGGACTCAGCTTATAACCTGTCCGTCAATCAGAGCTTACTGACACCCTCTGCTTGTGTGACATTTTCCACGCGATCGGATCATAAACAAAAAAGAAGAAGAAATGAACACCGCGGCAATCTGGAAATGCAAGTTGCCAATTCATCATTGCCCATGCCACTGCGGTATCTTTTCAACACTTCGTTTTGCACGCCTTGCCTCCCCACCAATACACACAAAAAGTGCCTCCCTGTCAATTGCCAAAGCATGATCCCTTCTGGCACGCGCTGTGGCTGGCTGTCAGAGGCATCGGGTCGGAACGATAGGTCCTGGATGACAGTAGGACAAGGGATGAACCCCACGCGGGTGAAAACTTCGCATCGATCCGTACAGCGTCTGTTCTGTGCGTCTGGCTGGAGAAATGTCCACACATGTCTGAATTAAAGCACAACAGTGGCAATGCTTTACTAGCAGGCAGCTACCAGTGTTGAATATCATCTCAAGGAATCATGATTTTAAGCTCGTTCTGTAAAATGCAATAGAAAGCTTTGATAAGCCGCGTACTTTTACACGCCCCGGGGTTCAAACTAACGACAAACAATAGCTGATCAACAGCAATCGCTCACGACATTTGCCACGTGAAATGGCAAATGTATTCATATGTATGCACCGCCTAAAATACAGCAAGACGTAATGATCAATGCTGCTAGGTTTTGGAGGGGGCTTTTGCCCTATATTGCTATATACTACATCATATGATATATAGGCATGCCTCTGAGGTGGAGACCATATATCTGAGGCGATCGCTTAAAACAAGCCATGTCTGATTTCAATTCACGACATCCTGTCGTGATGACCTGTCTTATCCGTACAGTGCAAGGTGACAAGGTACTAGTGCTGATTCCCATAGCCATTTCCAGCCTGCTATGTCCCTATTCATATGATATAATGCTAGGTCAAAACACATCCGGTACTCGTGGTGAAAAGTGCATGGAGACTGGGCGATCCAATCACCCCGCAGTAAGCTTCCACTGCGCTGGTTTTCACCGGAAACGGCGGCGCTTATGACAGGAGCAGTCACATGCGTTCACAAATAACCCAACAATTGGTATTGCTGCGCTTATCTTCTGTTGGGTTGGTTATTAGCCGTTTGGATTAGAGCTCTTTCGACCACACCTGCTATTGGACATCTATCTTCGTTGGGGAAGACGCCGAGCATCCTGGCGTCAAGTTGTAACCTCACGTAAGAATGAACCGCTCGGACAGCTTCAAAGGGTATGATGAGGAAAGAACTACTTACTATAAACTCCCACGTGTTCCAGATGTAGCCAGGATAGTCTTTTGGGAAATTCGGTGATGTGAACTCGGCCGTTACCCCGTTCCGCAGTCGGAACCTGCCGTAATCGGGCACTGTGGGTAAAACCGGAAGAGGTCAGAGGTTACTGCGAAATAGTCTCTTCATCTAGACGCGATGGCATGCAGACTTTTGAACAAAATAATCTGCATTTGCAAACCGCAGTTGAGAAAGCATGCTGTGATATAGCAAAGCCTGGTGCGCAGACAGTGGCAATGTTGCAAGCCGAAAGCATGTGAACCTTTATGATTATTCTGTTTGGATGCTACACTATGGATGGCAGACACGAAGGCATCGCTCGGAAATATTCGGGGCTGTTCAGACCGACGACAAGGATACCCTAGTATGCGTGCACAAAAAACCTTGCTAGTACTGCTGTGACAGAGAGAAGTTGGGCAGCACTTGCACTTACGCCAGGAGTCCAGCTGGATAGGTTGCACCGACATCTTAGACAGCCGGAACGGCGTGACCCACTTGTTGGGCCCGAGCTGCTCCAGTGGTGGGATGCGGCCCGCCAGAGCTGGGGACTCCTGAGGAGGAGGCTCGCGTCCCTGTAGACCAAAGGGCTCCTCCTCCTCGGGGAAAAGGGGAATGGGGCGCAGCCATGAAGCTGGCACCCTCTCTGTGAAGGCTACCTCTTCCTCCTCCTCTTCCTCCTCCTCCGACACAGGAGGCAAGGGACGCAGCCAGGTTGCCGGCACCCTCTCCGTGAAGGGCACCTCTTCCTCCTCCTCCTCCTGTGGTGTCAGCGCCGGCTCGCTTCCATCCACACCCGATTCCCCCGGACCGGGACGCAGCCAGGAAGCCTGCACGCGCTTAGTGATGGACGCCTTCTCCTGCGGCTCGGATGGGGCCTCCTGACCGGAAACCCCTGGTATGGGAGCTTCCAAACTCTGGCAGCCGGCCTGAAGCAGGCAGGCGAGAGCGGTGAGGCACCGTCGTCATGGTAACCAGTGGACCGCTGACAAGCAGGCTTTGCGTTTGAAGGAAACGCGGTCGCAGCGGTTTCATAAACACGTGACACACGAACGTGTCACGTTTCCCGCATGGAGGGATGCGATCCTCCCACGCAGTCTCCCGGAAACCATGGCAAATTCACCAATGGCTGCGGTGTTTTGTTGGCGTAGCTGGCGATGTGTTCAGTTGCATGCTTTGCAATTTTTACAGTATGATCCTCACATGTGCGACGCCGGTGATTGTATTGATGCGAGTTACTAGTGTAGTATGCCATTTCAGGGGACAAGCGGCCTGGGCTCTGACTCGCTTTGAGAGTGTTACCCCTTCACACTGACATATATATATAATTGTGTGTGTGTGGTGTGTGTGTGTGTGTGTGTGTGGTGGTGTGTGGTGTGTGTGTGTGTGTGTGGTGTGTGTGTGTGTGTGTGTGTGTGTGTGGTGGTGTGTGTGTGTGTGTTGGGTGTGTGTGTGTGTGTGTGTGTGTGTGTGTGTTGTGTGTGTGTGTGTGTTGTGTGTGTGTGTGTGTGTGTGTTGTGTGTGTGTGTGTGGTGGTGGTGTGTGGTGTGTGTGTGTGGGGTGTGTGTGTGTGTGTGGTGTGTGTGGTGTGTGTGTGTGTTTGAGCGTGTGTGTGTATGTGTGCATACATGTTTGAAACCGATGCGGAATGACGATCCCAAAGCAAACTGGTGTTTTGGATACTTCATGGATCTTTTTTGCTGAAACAAGGCCAGGGACTCACCACCAGATTATGCTATATGCTACATTTGTACCTTGCAGATCTGTACTGGACCAAAATTCTGATGAACAGTTAGTGCTGTGACTTTTGCTTTTTGAGGCACATTCGTACAGGATGCCGCAACTTTTTGAGCTCACGCTCACAAGGTATAAGGCTGTTTTGAGCGGGAATGTCGCTGTCCAAGACTTAAGTGTTAAATCGAAC